GAAGGAAGGAAGGAAGGAAGGAAGGAAGATGAACCACAAAATAAAATGATAAAAATCACTTACCATCCTTGTATCACTGATTCCACAGATTCTCTTCTCCTTGGTTGCTATAGTTACGGACCAGATAACAACTCGACGAAGCAGGTCCTCTCGACTCTATCGACAAACAAGACCGAAATGAGCTGCATAGAAGCATGTGCCACCTCAGCATTCAAAATTGCTCTTTCAAACGACTCTCTCTGCATATGCAGTCATGACAATATCACGTCGAAAATAAACATCACAGACTGCAATCAGACTCACGTGACCTTAACAGGAAATGACGTCAGTAAAATATATTTGCATGTCTATAACACAAGTAGGTTGCTCCCTGGATATTGTGAAGTGTTTGATGAAGTCCGTTTTCAAATTCCGCCAATGGTTACCCTTAACATTACGAAGAACCACGAAGTCGAGCTCGATTTTGGCGATGGGAATGTCTATAGTCTGTCAAACAGGATTTACAACACGAGTTATGTAAGCCATCGATACCTGAAATCAGGACATTATCGAGTGATGTTGAGGTCGAAGTCACACAACGGGTCTGGATGTCACGCATATCGTGACGTCATCGTCCAGCAAGGAGTGGTCGTGCAAGGAATGAGTTGTCCTTCCCATGTAGAGACGATGGCCACGATTTTATGTCGTATGGATGTTCTCACGGGCTCAAATATGACGGTAGACCTGGAGACTGTGAATCAAAAAAATGCAAGAATTAAGCAAGAATTTCAGTTGCAAGGTAATAATAATAATAATAATAATAGTAGTAGTAGTAATAATAATGAYGATGGTGATGATGATGATGATGATTAGAACCACGTGCTATCACCATCGGAGCATAAACGATGATACTGCAGGGAATGACACGTGGTCTAAAATGGGAAAGCAACGATAAAAGCTATCCGTGCTCACGTAAAATGATCGGTTTTATCCTATCATCGGACGTTGAGGCATTAGGTAGAGACGAGCGTCCTCAACACGCCTGCTACTCAATTGTATCACAATTTTCGTATTAATAATTAATGATTTGTGAATAATATTTTAGACATAGAAATGGTTAGCGYTGGAAATCTGAGAGCAGAAGTTTCCAGTCAAGTGAACTCGTCTTTGGATGACCAGCAAGGTGGAACGTATGTTATTCCTGGAGAACGCTTTCACACTACCACAGTGTTACAGGCTTGGGAGGTTTTTGCTACTTCTAATTGCTCTGCAAAACTGCAGGTAAACTATTCTGATGAACAACAACAACAACAACAACAACAACTTTATGTGCACTCAGTGTAAAATTACATTGAAGAAATAGAAAACGCGCACGCGTGCTGTGTGCAGTTATAAAGCAAGCGGGGGCTGGCAGAACACGAGAGAAGTGTTAGGAGAAGCACGACACGCAGCGGAGTGCTTCTGACCACTTCTCGATTGTTCTGCCAATCCCCAAGTGCTTTATAAATCCCCACAGCACAGCAAGGGAGTTTTTTATTTCTTTTATAAAATACCAATTACATGAATGATGAAACTGAAAGTACGCGAGCGTGTTGTGGGCTCTCATAAAGCACGCACTCCCAACCAATCAGAACGCGAGATTTAGTACAGTTATTTTATAAAAATGAATAAAAATGTTAGAAAAGAGAAATTACATATATATAAATATTAGAAAGAGGTAAATATAGGAATAAAGGAGCACACTGAGCTACCTAAAACTATATATATAAACTTGTCCGAACTTTTAGGAAAGACAACTAGCGTCGTTTTGATGTCCATCAACACCAGTCGTCCGCCCATCTTCAAGACATATGAATATATGTTGTACAGAGATGTTTCATCTTTAATGCTTACAGTGTATAAATTCATATTTTTTCTAGGTATTTAGACCAACTAGACAATCTAACTGCAGCATGTCATGTTCGTTGTCCACTCTTTTATGTAAGAAATGGTCCCTGTTATCCAACGATAATTGTAACGAAGTGTGCCTCCAAATAAGGTCATGCAACACTAACAAGAACTGTATCCTAAACAATTCATCCTTCGAAACCATCTTTTCACTAGATGTCTCTCTTAACCCTGGATATAACTTCATTTCTGTGCCTAATTCCATGAAAGCAATTTTGGTAGAGTTTGGAGATGTCCTTGGATGGGCTTCAAATGATTCACAATGTATCCAAGCAATCCAAGGTCAAAACCACAACCACGAAGTACTCTACTCTTCATTCGCCTCAAGCTGGAAACCGTTTTCCACTCAAGGAAATGTAACACGGAAAAATGTGTCCTTTGCTCTTCGCGTTCACGGATTCGTTCCTATGGATATAAGCTTTACGTTCTGCCATAGCCAAGCTGAAATAATTTCTGTACGTTCAAAGATTCGGAACTTGATTTCTACAGTGGAAAATTCAAGGTTTAATGAAACGGTCGTCGTGCAAGTGCCAGTGAGTGGTACGTGGTATCGAATTGATGACTTCATGGTGGTTAATGAAAGTCGTGAAGTGATAATCAAAGCAGACAAGGGGACAAATCTAACTTGTATCTTAAAGCTTCCCAATAGGGATATCGTCTATTCGCCTTTCATAAATGGGAATCAAACTGAAGGATTGGACTACCACGTAATGGTAACCTTTCATAAAAGTGAAGTGGTGGGGATTTCGTTCAAAATTTCTAACCTGGTTTCTGAAAAATATGTTTCAAAGAGTACAACAGTTCGAATCCAAGTCAAGGGCCTTAGAGCTTCTATTAAGTATGCTGAATTTGCTTATCAAAATGCTGAGACCTTCTACAACGCGAGTATCCTTCAAGGAAACTTTGTTGAATATCATTGGATATTCGAGGATCCGAAGAAACCGTACGTCAACAAATCGACAACTGCTTCGCATGTTTTTCAAAACCTAGGGAAATTTAAGGCCACACTTTATGCGCATAACAGCGCATCCTACGAAGGAGCGACCATCCCAACACTCGTAATCCCGAATCCTCTATGTATCCAAATACCAATGTATGTCAAGGCAGGGGTCCCACAAGCTATAGGCTGCCAGGTTCTATGGCCTGAAGGCACACCTCAATCGTTTTATCAGAAGTTTAATCTATCGGCTCGAAAAGGTGCTGACATGCCTGAAAAGGTCGATACAATTTTAGATTTTGGCGATGGGAAAACAATGTTGAAGAATTCCAGTGTAGAACTAGTGTACCATACTTTCGCTAGCGGTAAGAATAAGGCTGAGAATATCAAATGCACTGTGCAAAATCATCCAGAACTGAATATAAAGAAGAATGTAAAAGTTTTAGAAGCAATATCTGGGGTTCAAATCCACACCAACTGCTCTAGAAATATTTCTATCGGAACTATGTGTAACTTCGAGGCAATATTTACAGGAGATTTGGGTCAATGTCGTTGGGCGATAAATGACAAAGATGACACGTTTTTTCCATCTGGAAACTGCGCCATAGACTACAAATTTGAAAGGGCAAATGAATATGAAGTTAGTGTTAATGTCAGTAACCAAGTATCCTCGTTGTTTGAAAATTCTACTTTTGTGGTTTCTCGTCACCACATTTCTGCTACCGCAACCACCACAATATCTATTTATCCAACCAAAACCATCGTCATGGAAACAGCTACCTTAGCTACCTTAAATATTAGTGCAACATCAATAGATGTCACGTCAGCTGTTGTTATGGAAACCTCAAGCATTTCCCCCTCCACCACTAATATCCTAATTTCCTCAATAACTCCCAACTTGACCGTCACAGATTTGATCCTTGTATGTCCAAATTATGGTGCTGTTGGAAAAGAGGTAGTATTTGAAGCATATTTAACCTCTGGTGCACCGTTATCTTACTCGTGGAAAATAGATACGTCAGTGCTTTCTAAAGCGAGGAGACGTTTATACCATGTATTCAAAAGTCCAGACATTTACTCAGTAACTAGCGAAGTGACAAGCAGCAATGGTAATCTTTCTCGTACCTGTCGAGTTACGGTGCAGGAGTTGGTAAAGGGATTCAGGATTACAAAGCTTGAACTTCGAAAAGACTTGAAAGTTGAGATTGGATTTGAGGTCCTTCGGGGTACCAACGTAACTTACGAAGTCGATTTTGGAGAAGAAGGTAAGTGTGAATTATGAATTGAATGGTTTTAGACTCGGATACAAATAAACGGATAACCGAACTAAAATGAAATTTAGAAAGAAAAAAGAGTAACAAAACAAAAAGGAAAAAGGAAAAATGAGAATTAAAAATAAAGAGAAAAAGAAAAACAGGAAAGTAAATAAGAGAACACAAAAGATAGTTAAAAGAATGTTCGGATCAAAACCTTGCATTTTTCTAATCTCAAGTTTACACTTCAATAATCCCCTTCACAGTTCCCTGCGCCATCTTGAAAGGTAGCCGTGTCTTTGCATCGAAGCGAGACGAATGGTGAGCTTGCAGTGTTAGAGACCTTTTTTAACACCTTGAACAATTATTCACATGTCTCTATCATTGCAAGCTCACCGTTCGTCTCACTTCAATGCAAAGACACGGCTACCTTTCAAGATGGCGCAGGGAACTGTGAAGGGGACTATTCCCATCATCTATTTATTTCATACGATTCCTTCCGAAGGTGTGCCTAAAGCAAAGGAACTTCTTAACTCATCGCCATCGATCATATCACTGATACACCAATACAAAACCCCACGACAATACACTATATCTATCCATATTTCAAGTCTGGTTGGACCAAATAAAACTATAAACAGTACGCTCCTAGTGGTAGATGGCTCATGCACTATACATGACGTCACTATCGAGGGCGGGTCACGTGACTCCAGCTCGGCGCCAATCATACTCCCACAGTATGAATATTCTGTTGCAACACGAGTAAACGCAAGCTGTGATGCTGCAGGTACATTCTCTTACACATGGATRATTTCTAATGTTGCCAACGAATCAACGGCTGAGAGGATGGTCAAAATACCTGAAGAAGTTTCGCTGGACGGTAGGGAATTGGTCCTTCCATCCTATACCTTACCTTATGGATTGAACAAATTGATTGCTATGGTGAAGGTGAATCCACATGGCATTTCGAAGTCTGTAATTGGGTACGTTAAGGTCCGTGAGCCAGATCTGGTTGCACTGATTGACTGTGGTCATGTACGCACGGTGTCACGTGAGCGTGAGGTTGTTTTTAACGCATCGAGGTCTTACGATCCAGGCACCTCGGCAACAGACAGTTCATCGCTGTTTTTCAAGTGGTCTTGTGATTGCAAGGGGAATGATTCGTGGATAGGAGATGATATACCACGTAATAACTCAATCCTTTATGTCCCCAAAATGCGGTTGAGTAACGGCGAGTGTAGCTTTCTTGTCGAAGTTACAAAAGGCACAAGAAAAGCCTCTGCCAAACAGACAATCAATGTTGTAGGTGGCAACTTCCACTCATTGTGTTTCAGGTAAGCTATTTCTATTTTCACCCCTAAAGCAGCCATGAAACGAGTACGCGCGGAATGTTATCATGACTTTCTGGGTGTGATTCCTAGGTGAGAAGCATTATGAATGCCCCCGGGTCGGCAGTTGCGTATTTAAGCGAGAAAATCCAAGGTTTCGACCTCATTTGCTCTGGTTCGCTTTACCAGTCAGTGCTAGACGGATTTTTGACCCCACCCACCTCCCCTTCGGCGACGTTTCTCCATTATAACAGCTCAGTCCGGTAGCTTAATCACAGCCTCGGCAAAACTCGTGTTCCCAAAACTTAAACGCGTGTATGAGGCGAATGGCTGTTTTGGCGCGGTGAAAATTATATACCATTTTCAATGAAAAAGAAATATCTATATAGTGATTCTACAACGACATACGAATCTTCCRATGCGGATACAGATGGGGGGATGAGATAAAAATAGAATAATTAATAAATAATAATTAATTAATAACAGTAATTTTTAATAATTGATAATAATTGATAATAAGTAATAATCAATAATTATTTATTATTAATAAAATTGTTGTTAGCTATTACTTATTAATAATCTCATTGACAGATGTATCCAGAACTGTGATAAAAAAGTCCATCTGAACAAAGCCGTTGTTTTCTTCTCCACAACCTGCCAAGAAAACAAAAACCTCTCCTGCACTTGGAAGCTGACTCAATCAAGTGGACATAATGTGAAGAAAAGGTCGCTTCCCTTTGAGTCCTACAAGTTTGTCATTAGCCAAGGAGATTTCAAGCCTAATCATACTTATACAGTGTCATTAGAGGCTATAATTAATGGTGTAAGACTGAGCAATGATTATCGCCTTAAAACGGACAATGTTCCTGAAGGAGGTGCTTGTAGTATATCTCCAAGCCATGGAAAAGTCATTGAAACGACGTTTCAAATAAAATGCAATGGATGGGGTGATGAGGATAGCCCTTTGTGGTATGAGTATTACTATATTGATCCTGATACTGGACCGACCATGATGGCATATGGTTGGCAACCGCAGTCACCTTTGTTGTACCTTCCAAATGGACAAGAATCGGAGAACTACACGTTAGGATTGCACGTTGATATTGTTGATGTCTTGGGATCACGAAAGAGAGTTCCTTTACATGCGACCGTAAGTTCATACATGTAAATACAGGGCCGTAGCCAGACCAAAATGTTTACCGAGGCAAAAGAGCGACGAAGGGGGAGTCTCTAGAACTAGGGTTTTGGAAGGTTCCTTCCAAAATAGTTTTCCTTTTTTAACTCTCAATATTCGCGACTGTAGTTTTAATCGGAAGGTTTAGTGCTCATATGTAATTACTTTAAAATTTGCAGTGCGAAGAACGCTCAAAGGGTCTGTCATTCCCTGCTAGCAAARCCTATTTTCCTTTTGTTTTGGTGGAGTGAGACAAATAGACTCTGCCGATGTAGGACGTTATACTTGTCGCGCCTGCGTGGCGTAACTTAACAACGCCGTCATGATTTTGACTGCCGCTCTCGTCAAACGTTACATTTGATGCGCACAACGTGTACCCGGTTAACAACCGGTTTTAAAACTGGTTTCATTCGCGTACGGTTGTGGACGGCGGTGTATTAAAGGAAACGCTCTACATCGGCAGTCTCCCTCCTCCCCGCCTAAAAGAAGGGCGAGAAAAAAGGGGGAGAAAGAGGAGAGACGACAATACGTAGATACATGATTTCTCTTACTTTTCGCTTCCAATGAATCAGGTGATGGGGTTTAGTAAGGATGATGGACCGATCGGTGCCATACTCAACAGCTACGTTAACGGTCCCTCAAGCATTCTGGAAGAAATGTACAACCGCGGTGATGACCAACAGGCAATCCAGTTCATGACGACTATATCATCTGTGTTGAATGAAGATTCTCTGGCACAAACTGAATCTAAAGGACAAGGCGAGAGAGAAAAGGTGTGTTAATGCACTTCTGATGTACCGCGTTTCACTGTACCATCGCCTGAAGTAATAAACATGTAAACAGAGATCGAGAGGCGAGGGTCGTCACTGTTACTCCTAGCAACCATACTTTGTGTTTGTTTACAGGTTCGCACAACTCTCACCAAGGAGTTTTCAAATAAAACAATTTCAAGTTTTCCAAGTCTTAGACAAGTTTTAGGAGGTCTACGAAGTGCGACGAAAATAACAAATGAAGTAACGTCCGACGCACAGGTAAATAGTTCTCCTTCGTAGCCGTCATTAGTTTCGGTCCCAGATCCTCCCGGGCCCACTAAGTGGAGAGGGCTCGGGAGGATCTGGGACCGAAACTAATGCCAAGGAGACTAACAGGTAAAGTAATTGGTTGGTGTCACTTGACGTCATTTCCTGTCTTGTGTGGAATGTGCATCAGCCGAATCTCAAGTTTTTAATGGAATTCTTTCTGGTTGACCGCACACAGTGGTCAGTGAACACCATTTGGATCAGATAAGGAGATTAAAAGACTTTTATCAGCTGATTGAAACCCAGCAATTCATTTGGCACGTTTTTTTATTTTTGATGTTAATTAGCTTATTAATTAGGTACACTCCTAACACAATAATGTATGTTAAGGTCTATGGTGCAAAAGGATATGAAAACATGGCATCGACACTAGCAAAAAAACATGTGCACAAGCCAATAGAGAAAGAAGCTGATGCCATTGTCAAAGGTTTGTCCGATGTTCTGGATTCGTCAAAGATGACGTCAAACAAGGCAAGAGACGACGAAAAAATGCAGATTGATTGGATGGATAACAGTAATGCTATCAAGAGCCAGGAAATGTTAAGAAAGGTATAGGAAATATCATACATATAGGGGCAAGGTCAAAACAGGGGTACAAAATAGGGACCCGATTTTATTGATTTAGGTCGTGAGTACGAATCTAGCTGATCTGTAAAACAATGTTAACCAATCAGTATCGAGAAAATTTTCAAAAGTGACGGATACAAAAGTGATGGATGTATGGAGTAGATGGATGGATAGCTGTGGAGGATGGATGGATGGGAAAAGGATGGGAAAATGTGGACAATGGATAAAATGAAGGAATAAAGGAAGCAAGGAAGCAAGGAAGGAGGGAAG